AAGCTACATTATTCAATTTTTTGCAAAACTCGAACAAGTTTTATTTTTTTGACACACGCATGACATCCATTTGTTAAATTAAATGATCACGCGCTCATCAATCTACTTGATGTTACTTTTCGTTATATTAAATCAACAAAGTGGCTGGACTCGGGCTAACGAGCGCAGAAATACAGCCACCCCCAAAAGCCAGTTCAAGTACATCTATCGTCAAAAAACTTATTTATATACAAGTGTATGTATATATATATAGGTCATTGTGCGACATACTTGATAACAAAATTATAGAAGCAACAACAGAACATGTACGTTTATTCAGTCGTGAAACCCGGAGTCGGCCAATCGGGGGTATGTTGTGGGTTGTTCGTGTGGCGCTTTCAATGTGACACGCTTCATTAATTTTTGCACTTTTGCGCTGAAGAAAAATTGAAAGCCTGCTTTCGTCAAGTTGCACACACTTGTGTATGTATGTATGTATGTATGTATGTATGTATGTATGTATGTATGTATGTATGTATGTATGTATTTATTTATGAGTAGATACACATGTGCACAGCTCAATTCAAAGTGCAAACGACAGAGTTATTTTAAAATCAGCGGCGCGTTAACGAAACGCTGACCTTGATTAGCATGTTAAGTGTGGACGACAGTACATTTCCACGGATAAATTCAAGTTAATAAATTGATGAAGAAAAAACGCACGAAAGTCCCACACATAGCAAAGCCGTAAGACCCTTTTTAAAATTGCAAAATTATATACAAATTATTCATTTGTACTACATTATTAACTTGCAAAGTTGATTAAAAGTTATAAGCAGTATTGAATTCCAGTACTTGAAGTTAAGGAAAGGAGTATGAGTAAGGGAGTATTAAATTGAAATAGAATCGATTTGCAATTCTCTGAATTGAATTGAAATGGATTTATTTGTGTCCACCACACATCAACTTTTTTGCTTGCCTGTTTTTTTTAAACTAGTTGTCTTTAAGTTAACTTTTTAGAACACTATGCCACTAATATGCTCTCAGTAGTTTTATACACACTCGTTTAAGCTGATTACCGACTTCAACAATAATAAAATAAATAAAAAAGTTAAAAAATAACACAAATAAGCTCTAAAGCTGGTATTTCTTCTATCTCGAAAACCTTTGGGGTAAGTAAGTAAGCGAAGCAAGCATTCCATTCCATTTATAATCCTTGTTTAAATATTACTGCCGTAAGTCAACTTTATAACAATATACAGTGATTTTACATTTAATTTTAAATATTGTGTCGAATATGAGTACATACTTGTATATAGTATTAATATATATTTGCATCGCTTGTCACCACGAGCCGAATTTTTAGATGAACTAAACAAACTATCTGTTCTTCTTCTGCATTCTTATGAACCCCTTCTCTGTTTTTGTAATTTGTATTGTTTGTTGTAAAATCGAATGTGCATATTTGTAACGACTCAATACGATGTAGTATTATTAATAACATACAATAATCGTAATCGTAATTATATACGAATACTTTTAGCCATGTACTATGTTGATAGTTATTTAGTTCAATAATCGTAATCACTCAGTTACGTTGCTTCTCCAATACATTCCACTCGGCCTCTATCTCCCACAAACTGCTGAAAAATCATCTTTGTAAACGGCTTAAAATATTTGTTCATCATTCACAAATTTTTTTGTGTTAAGAAATGCATTGTTGCTTCTGAAAACCTATTCAATAGGTTCATAAAGGGCTTAAAAACGCGCGCGACTAAAACCGTGTTGCCGTTAAACACGTTTTAAGTGTGGAAGCGTTCACGCCGCGTTTTATCGTTCGTTGTCGTCTAAGTCGGCGATTTGCATAAATTGCACATGTGATTGATTTCTTCATACTTACACGTAGCAAAAAACTTAACATTCAAGTGTAGCGTGAATTGTTTTGCAAATGTTCGTTGCTGTTCAAATTTGTGTGTGAAATATCGGCAGCTAATATAATCTAGCTTAAATTCAAATATTTCATTTCTCTGCAGTGGTGAGTGCTTTAAAGTCCTTTTTGTTTTTCTCTACTTGACTTTTACATACTAAGTTCACCGTCATATGCAATTCCTTAACCCAATTCTGGCTCAAATGTTTTAATTATGTATAACATTTATGACACTTGCCAACAATGGGGCTGTCAGGCGCTTGTCACGCACACTCACACACACACACACATACGCACCCCATCCTTTGTCACGGTCGTAATCACATTTTTAATGTGTTGAAGACAATCTACTTGCCACACATGATGGGGGCGGTGATGCAAAAATGGCGCTTGTGCCTGAGGTAGAGCCAACGCCAATCTTACACTTAACCATTGACCTTACCGTTTTAACGAGGTCATGGGTGCAAGCGCAGGAGAAGGAGCAGATGAAATAACAGAAAAAGCAGCAGCGAATAATGTGGTGAAGTGTTGACCCAAATGTTCGCCACACTAATGGCTGATAGCGATGACTAAGTCAAATTTGAGCAAAAGCTATCAGCCTACTGGTCGTATGAGTGATGGGCTATTGATAATATGTAACACGCATACGCATGAAGAGGAACATTTCATGCTTCAATTGATTCGTTCAATGGACTGTTAATTCGCTGTTGCTTTCAAATATTCTTCTCTCCTCAGACGTTTTGTAAACAATTGTCTTATAACAACACTTTTGTTGTTTTTGGCACACCAAATAAATTGGAAAATAATTGCAGAATATGGTGAATAAAAGCAGACCAAATTTCGTTTTGTTTATTTTCTGGGCAGAAAAATATAAACACTATATAAACGGCTCCCTCTTCGCTATTTCTGGCTATTCATGTATATATTAATTAGCTTGTCTTGGACTTCGACGGCCCAAAGTGTTTTCAATTTATTTTTCTGTGCACGTTTTGGTCAAAGTTGTCAGGACAACAGGCTCGAACATTTGACCATCACATATACAGAGACAACGCATACTTGTAAGCATTTAGGTTTATATTTTTTCTGAATGCTTCACTTGACATCCTGATTGATTGATTGATGGATTTGTAGATTGTTGTTACCTGATTTTCGTCAAAGAAAATGTGCAGCATTTCTTTTGAAATTCAATGAAGTTTTAACATTAATTCCAAAAACACACAACAATTTCTGTGAAATGTGCAAGTGTGTGTGTGTGAGTTAAGTGTCCGCCTTTGTCTGCCCTGCTTGCCAAACGGAAATTAAATTTATACCATTACTTTTGCCAAGTTTCGTCCCTCAAAGGCTGCATAACAACAGGGGTCTGCATCTGGCTCTGTCTTGCCGCTTCCTAAATGCTCCCAAAGACTGCTGACAACACATGTTTTTCCCATTAGCTTGAAGTCAAATTAGTAAGTCGGTGTGCTCGTCCCTGTCCGAAAACATGATTGTGTGTGCGTGTGCTCCGTTTTCTGACCTTGCCGCCGTGTCTTGTTCTGTGGCTCAACCGCATACTGAGTTGGGTCCACAGGCACGTGTGCCTTGCAGATTATTATTTATTTTTATAAATACAAGTATATGATAACATGTAAAAAATGTGTGCGTCGGGAATACGAGAAAGACAATGATATGCCCATTTGAACTCTGACATCTCGCCGTTGCTGAATTTGTCATTCATTATGCGCCGATAAACTCAATTTGGAGCAGACAGCAGTGGGAAGGCTTCAATCGTTTTCTCTGATGGAACAGATGGCAGACGATCGAGGTGCAGACATCATTTTTGGAACATTCTATGTACGCTTAAAATATGTTTTTGTGATTAACAATAGGCTGTTCACCCACTTTCAAGTATTTGTGTTTTTTAATATTTATTAAATGGCATTTTGAAACCATATATAATTTCTTTCGATTTGAACAATAGTAATTAAACGACGTTTTATCGCAAACTTGTACTTTCTTCCATTAATGTAGTCTTTCAAGAAATATACAAATGTAATCATAAAATGTTCAACGCCTCAAAAAATCGAAGCCAGAGGAGATTAAACGCTCGTGTTTGTGAATAAATTTAATTGTGTACATTATGAAAGCTTAAATCAAAAACAAACTGTTGATAAATTTTATAAATTATTGATATTAGTAATGCCATGAGTTGTGTAGAATCCCCTGGGAAGTGATTTTACTCAGTATAATAAATTGTGCAAAATCAGTTGGGCATAAAAAAAGCTATCGGCACGTTTAGTGTGAATATTATATAGTATATTTTTCATTTATCAGAGGAAATATATGGGCATACTACTATGAAGAAACGCAAAAACTTTGTTGTAAAAGCCGGCTCTGAGTGTGGCACTCAGAAAAAGGCACAAAAAACGACCTTGAATTGAAATAATTTTTTTTATATTAAAGAAATTCAATTTGGAAAACGAGTAAAACTTTACAAGTATTTCTCAAGTATTGGCGGCGATTGAAACAAATGGATTTTTCTCTACTTAGTATTTTTGTTCTGAGTATATTAATTAAAATAAACTATCAGTGGCGAATGAATAGAAAAAGAAATTATTGTTCTACAGAACGGCTCTAGCCCCAATCCACGCCTAAGGAAAAGGTCGTGTCGAAAGCAATTAGTCTGAAAAACCTGTAAAGCATTTATTAATTAACTGACGAGTCGAAGGCTTGCTTTGAAGGATTCGGAAAAATGATGAATTATTCGATCCAATACTTACATCGAGTGGGAAATAAACTGAATAAAACGAATACCACCTAATAACGTTTTCAGTGGTTATTTGATGTGTTATAAATAAAGCACCGGTATCAAATAAGATTGATATTATAAAGGGGGACCTTAATATATTGCACTGGTGAAAAATGTTTCGTAATGTTTTGTATAACATCACAATATATGAATTAACTTCTCCCATAAATATATATATAACGGATTCAATTGAAATGTCAATGAGTGCTTGATTGGTTATCTCTGGTGTTTTAGTATTTATAAATTTAATATTTTGTGATATTTGTTTATTCATTCATTATTATTGCAGCTGATAGTTTCAATACTTACTTTGGCTTTGGAAAGTTATCACTTTTGGTTGACTCCTGGCGATGCAACCAAAAGCGTTTGGTCATTTTCATCCGCATTTGGAATAGCCAATTGAAGCGCTTCTTAAAGCGTTCCCGTTCACGTTTTCCCCTGTGTCTAACACTGCGCCCAATTGTGCTGGAACTGTGGCCCAAGCGGTCGGTTCCGGCCCCAATGCTGTTGCTATGCGGGCGCGTGTTGTTGTCTTCAAAGCTGCAGTCGCTTCGAGACTTTGGGGCGGCGTGTATACGCGATGGCGAAATTTTGACAATTTCGGAGGCAGGTATTAAGCAAGAAAGACGTGTTGCTGACTAATCGTGCAAATTGAATTGGACGTGGACGTGTATTTGGTGCTCTAGACGGTCTACTTAGCGTTTACGGTTTAATTAACTAAATCACAAGTATGAGGCACTCACGCGGCGCACGTGAAAATTCGATTTTGAAGTTTAAATTATTATCGCAAATCACATGTAGTTTGGCATTTGATTAGCTTTGTGTGGAGAGTTCGTTTTTATTTGAACAAAGTTGAACTTGTACTGCAAAACAATTATTTTGCATTACCAGTTTATGCCTTTCTCTTGTACATTTTTGCTTTTTTATTTGCGCGTGCCTTGCCTTGAGAATGTTTCAGTATTTATGGGCACGTTTCACGTAGTCTGCTGCTGCGACTGTGGATGTAGGTGTTTTTCTTGAGTGTCACTCAAATTACGCATACGCAACGTTGCACTTGCGTTCCCCGAAAAGCTGTAAAAACGAATAATGTTTACGCTTAAGCTGAGCACGCGCATATTTGTCCTGACATTTGAAGTTCATGTGCCTCGGACTGGCCTGTGCCATAAATAAACTTGGCATTAATAATGCAGGACAATAGCGGTGCCCGAAATAGTGGATTGCCATCGCACATTGTACATTGACATGGAAACAGCGTGTAATTCCAGGACACAATTAATTCCACTACCCCCCATTGTGCGATTAACTTTCGGCTGTTGATGTTTCGCTCAATTTATCAGAAATCAACGAATCAATATTAATTTAGTTTTTCATGAGCTTTTTATAATCAACAAATCAGTAGACACATCAGTCCCACCAACCGCCTGACATTCTCACAAATCCTACTGTGGTTAAACTTGACCAAAAACCTTACAAAACCTTACAAAGTCTGAAAGAACTTACTTCTTTTCTCTATATTTTCAAAACTATATACTTGCATTCTATGGAGCCCTTAAACCTTCTTACAAGGTTTAATATAGTATAGTAAAGTATTTATGTAAAATAATATATAGTATATACTATAATTCTTATCTATAGATATTTGAATCAGCAACGAAAAGAAGTAGGATCTTAATTTGCTTTATGGAGAACAATAACGAACAACAAAAACGTCAATTAATTAGAAACGCTAGAGCATAGAATCAACTAACAAACACTTTTTCATTTTAACTTTCTATACTTCAATAGTATTGTAGAAACTAGCATACTTATAAGTCATTATATTTATTTATATAATCAGCAAGTTATTTAATTTGTGTCTTATTTTCTTTAGCTTTATATAAATAAATAAATAGTAAAGGAATCGATTTGGGACAATCTAACATGCAAAGGTACTTTCATTTGTAAATCGTTTATTTGGGAAAAGCAAACAAATCTTTTTCGCTCAAAGGGAAAGCAGTTTATATATCGAATGTATGCTGATGTTTTTATTTATACGTATATTTTGTGGTTGTCGTAATTAATATCTAGTTTTTGTTAGTGTTTTCTGTTTTGGTTTGAAAGCAATAAAAAAACCTAACAATTCATCTAATTAATAAATTAAATTGCAATAGAAAACAGGATGAAGCATAAATAAGCATGAATATATAGACTTAGACTTATGTATATCTATCCCATAGTACTGATATTTGCGGGATGCTATCTGAGTGCACGTACAAGTGACGGGCATGCCAATGAGTCGTATCGGACATAGCAGGACTGTGGCCATGGCTCTGAAAGATTGTGAAAGTGTTTTGACGACCACATGCTGATTGCGACTCAGGGGACAACAGCAAGAAAATTGGTTTGGGCCAAAAGCTTCCTTTGGCTAATGCGTATTAAAGAGGGCGCACGTGTGCGCATGTGTGCTGGTGAGTAATCATTTTTTTATGTACATTGCGAAGTAGACAGTGCGTATTTGTAAATGGCGACAAACAGGTAGTTCATAGTGCCAAGTCTCACTACCTTTCAGTTACTAAGTTAATGCTGGCTAGCACAAGCAATTCGAATTCAAGAAATGAAATTACGAACTTGTGACATTTTTGCTACAAGTATGGCATATGGATAAGAAAAGATGTCTGGCTTGGAAAAAATAAAAGAAATTGCTGAAGGAATTTTTAAAAATGTTTGCACTTTTGAATCTCTATAGAACAGCCTAATATTTTCTATTTTGAATTTATTGTTGAAGAAGAACTTACTTACCATACGACATGATGTATGGTTAGTAATTGACGGCTGTGGCAGATGAAAGAATGCATCCGTGCCTTTACAGTAATTACAAGTATAGTCAACTTTCGTGTGTAACTCAAAATCAAGATATCTTGAAATGATTCCTGCATTTGTGTTAACAAGTATTGGATTTCTTAATGTGTCAGAATAAATAAATAAATACCATTTATATTTGTGTAGGTGTGTAGATGAAATGAAGTGTTTGTTTGGTGTTGCCATTTAATTTCTATTTGATTAGGTCGTTTAAAAACAATTAACAATCACATTTTTACTGCCAGCAATACACAATTTTTGTGTGAAAATGTATATGTGTGTGTGAGAGATGGTGCACCCCCATAATTAAAAGTGGACTAACCAGCAGCCCTCAGGCAACGCAAAGCAGCTCAGCGAACCTTGACCGCACGCTTCATAGGCATTTAATTTGCAAATTCCTTTTTTGTCCTTACACGAGCATATACATACATAAATTAAAGTACCCGTTAAGGGCTATTAGAGCGATGCAGCGAACGTCGAGCACGCGCGCCTTCTAAATTATTCTCAAAGGGCTTAAGCGGAGTGGGGCGACTAGAAAAAGAGCTGGCTGGTACAAAATAGATGGGATAGGGCGCGCTCAGGCAAGTGTGTCCCTTCTCTGCGTCACCAATTTGGAGTCAGGATCAAGCTGCCTGCACAAAGGTATCAGGTTAACACACAAAATTGGCGAAAGCTAAAAATAAAAACTGCGTTGCGCTCGCCACAAAAAATAGCACACATGAGCGCTTTAAATTTAAAAGCTCTGTCACTTCCCTGTCACATTTACGTCTCCATTGTCAGTAGGAAACACACATACATAGAAGCCGGCCAATAGGATGGTTTTCGATACAGCAAAGGCGTCCTAAGTAAGCTGTAAAGGCTGTCTAAACAGAAAATATATCTAGATTCAGGGTTTAGTTTTTAACAATCAAATTTATTCAAAGCAACGTTTCAATCCCGAACTTTATTCGAACTCTTTATGGTCTTTTTATATTGTAATTAATTTCACAAGTACGTTTGAAAAATAAATTGTTTGAGCTTTCTATTTAGAATATTTTTTATTTCGCCCTAGCTTTTAATCGTTTCTTTTTAACCATAAACAAATAACATTTGCATAAAAAATCATTGAATAACCATCTTAAAAATTATTTTATAAAAATTAAACATTAATTAGGTTCGCTTTCCCGTTCTGGGGATTTTAGGTAATTCAAAAAACATGGATACAAGTACCTACAAATATTTATATAAACTGGTTTTTATTTTAATTTTGAATCTGTCTGTATTCGAATGAACGTCGCCAAGTGCTCGAGCAAATAATCGTTAATTATAACAATTTAGAAGCACATTTCGAATGAAATCATTAATACTAACACAACAAGATAAGTATTTATATATCCATTATAGATTCAATGACAATAGCAGCTCTGCATGTGGAAAACGAGTTCCATTTACATATGATCAACAGACAATATTAACCTTATACATATCCCCTTTTTACCCTTCGGGTAGAGATTACAAAAATAGGGAAATGCCATATTTTCGCAGACATTAAACGGCTAACTGGCAAGAAATGTACTAATTGATTATGCCTTTGAAGTAACAACTTTGGCCATGCACCTAGTTATGTTGCGGCCCGGGGCTACTTTAATGACTTTGGGGGAAGCTACCACAAAAGTTTGCATAGAACATGCCACAAATTTAGACCAAAAAAGTTTTCAAGACTTGTAAGAAAGCAGCCCCCTCGCTCGTTTCGTTCGCGACACAACTCGGCTTTTCCTCGAGCAGTCACTCAAAATTTATGAAATCTATGAAATGTTGAAAGCTGAAAACACTGGTAAGTGTAACTTTCGTCAGCAAAGTTTTGCCTTCGCTGCAGACAAAATGAAATGAAATGAAATGTTTGTCATGTGTCAGGAATGTGGGCTGAGGTTGTTCTGTTTGTGGTTAATACAACAATGCCATAACAAAGCCACAACCGCACACACACACACGTGCAGGCATAAGCAGAGTTATAAACTAACATAAATATTTAATATGCCGTACAGGCAACTTCACGTGCACGCATTTGTCTGTTTGTGTGAAAAGCTCTAAAAACTCAGATATGAAAATACACATGTAGTATGCATGTATGTATGTATGTATGTATGTATGTAAGCTTGTGCGTAAATGTGAACGTCATGCCATAACAGAGATTGTATGCCTGTCGATATACAAGTATAGTATAAGAGCGTTTCCTTCAACAACACTTTTGGGTTTCATTTACGTGCGCAGTGAGGGGATCTAAGTTTTACAGAAATTGAATTTAGTTCAAGTGTCTGAAAGGAGAAAACCCGATTACAACTTGAGGTGGACTTCACACTCACCGACGGCACACTGTCGCAACTATTCTTAAAAGGAATGCCATTTTCATGCAATCATTTGAAATACTATATATTGAATAGGCAATACAAATAATAGGTGGCTTCAGCTTTGGAATCGGCAAGCAATGGAATCAGCATTACACACATTGACATTGGAATAATCAGAGTTAGAGTGCCCCAATATAGTTGCATAGATGCACCGCTTTAGGGCAAAATAAATCGAAACCCCAAAGGCACAACTTAAGAACGTAGCACTATGATTTCTAATTTATGTGGGCCATTTGTATATCGGCGTTCGTTTATGTATGCGTTTAAGTGTATAAATAAGTGATAAGATAAAATAGAAGACAAATAACTTAATGCAACTCATATAAACATATCATAAAGAGTTTTTTATGACTAATTTCTAAAGATGCACAGCAAAAAGAAGTCTAGACACAAAATAAATACGTGCGTACATATATTGGATGCTACATGACAGAATTGTTATAAGCTGTTTAAGCTAAACGACTTTTATGTTTTTGGCAGCCAAATACGCGTAATTGGGTCGGAAATATATACGTCAATCAATATAGTATAGTACTTTAATAAATGCCGTTTAACATGGGTACATAATTATTTTTGTCCTTTTTTTAGGATCAGTTTTTGTTTTGGCATTGCATTGTTTGTCGGACCTAAGCAAATACGACTATACATCTTTGTTTTGGCTGTTCATTTAAATGAATCGATAGGCGAGGCCTTTGTCCTCAGTAAACAATATTACAAATGAAATACAAGTATTATTCCCTTGAATGTAGACAAGGCATTAATTAAAAATCAGCCAGCTGGCTTGGTATAAAATTTCCCTCGAGCTACTCCAATGTTAACTAAACACTTAATAAATACTTTATTAGGAATAGCTGGCACTTGTGTTTATCGCAGTTGTGGTGCAGCTGACTGGCCATCTTAAATTTCTAATGCACACAAGGTGTGCATATTGGGAAAAATTATTGACAATAACACCACAGAAAGTTCTCATACACATATATAATTGCTTGGGCGGTTATTTAATGTCGGCCAACAAATTACGGCGTTGGGCAAAAAGGGCAAAACTAATTATAAATTATGTATGTGGCAAACGCTTTCCTTTGTCTGCAGCCGCTGGCTAATGAGCATTGCGTCCCCCAAAAAAAGCAAATAATAAAAAATACGTAAAGTAAAATAAGAAAAGAAGGTGCAAGTAACAGCAAACGCAAAAGGAGGTTTCACATTCAGCCGAAAGTGGACTCTTTGGATACTTAGGCAACGCTTTAAATTAGCAACCCAGACTGCTGGACTCGATTTTATTCGACACCTATGCCCATCTCTCATGTCCCAGCTCTTCACCATGGCCACAGGGCTATAAACCACTTTACAGTTCGCACATTAACTTCAAGAAGTTCCAGGAATACAAGTAATTGTTGAAGTAATCAAACGTCACTTTAAATGTATTTTGTAGCTTGAAAATTGCAAAGCATTCGTAAGCTTTGTATCACCTATTGTGTGTCACTTTTAATGCGCGCTTTAAATGAATTTTTAGAAATTTTTAAAGTTCTTTTTTGTTTTTTTTTCCGTTCGACGCTCGTGAAGCCGCCGTCACAGTCACCGCCACACAAAGCCGCACGTCCGTTTCAAACGAAAGTTGTTAACTGAATAAATCTCTGACGTTTCGCCATATTCCTAGGCACTATGTGTGCCGGTCCCGTTTTTCGTTGTCGTTGCTGTCGTCGTTGCCGAGCTCGTCGCAGCTGTTTTCGGTTGAATGGCGCATTGAAAGCCGCGCAGCTCAATTGAATGGAACGCTTTCAATGCTGCCTGCCAGTTGAATGTGCCGCTACATTACATTTGCCATTTGTGTGTGCATGTACGTACTCGTATGTATGTGTGGGTGTGTGTGGGTGTGTGCGTGCCTCGTGCCTGCTGATTGTTGCTTGCCGCATATTCCAGTGGCCAGGCCACCAGTAGACTTGAACTTGGACGTTGTCTAGACTTTTGGAGATATAGTGCTCATGTTCGCATATTCAAATGTACTTGTATGTATTGTTCAGATATTTTATGAGATGGGCTTGGGGAGTAATTTGTATAACACTGGTCTTATAACTATGGCCTATTTATGTGGCATGAGGGTTTGTCTTGTTGTGTTTCATAAACGGCACACATTTATGGACTGCTATAAGATTTCTGTAATTAATACCAAGCTTATGGGTTGGTATTTATGTAGGTGGAGATATTTTGAAAACAATCCATTGTCGGCGCCACTCTTTGTTGCTTAAGATATTGATTTTATTTATTTTCGGTTTATTTTACATTTGTTTATATGTATTTAGTTGGAAAGCAAGTGTTTGGATATAAAAAGACTATTCATTTTAAATTAAAATGGTTTCAATTCGGCATATCGTCATGTTCTTGCTTCGCTGCTTCACCTACGGGAATTAGTCTTTGTTCTTTATTTGAACTTTATTGGGGTTTAGTTGGTGCGTTCTATCTAAAATACCATCCTTAATTTTTATCAATACTAAATATTTTTAAATTGTTTTCTATACGTATTTTTTACGGATAAAAATAAAATAATAATATCTACCAACAACACAGATTAAAAATTGCATTGCATATTCGATTATAGAGGACTTTGGCACATTTTTGCCAACCTTAATTTTACAATTTAGTGAGAAAATGAGAAATGTCCATTCCATATAGCGTTACATATGTTAGGAAAGTGCAGTTGTTTATGAGATAACGAGTCGCCAATTCATTTTATCTACTCATAAAAGTCTTGATAGCAAATAGTTCATTGTCACAACACAACTTTATAACATAATTATTATGACGGCATATAAAGTGTAATAAAAACCTAATCAAATAAAGCGAAATTCAGCACTATCTACCTATACATATATACTATGCACAGGTATGAGCCAGGCTGTCAAAAGTATTAATTCATTGTAGCCGCTAAGACCTTCTAAATTTTACATTGTTATACGATATAATGCAACTTCAACATTTTGCACATTCTACTGTCTAAATGAACATAGTATGTTGGAATGTAGGCATTACTTTTTCAACACAATACGATATACGCACGGACAATAAAAATATGTATAAACATATCAAAGTACAACAGTCTGCTCAGTCGCTTTAATTAACAGGAATTATAAACATTTAGAAATGTTTAAAAATAGCTCGTCAAAAGCTAGTAAGCCAATGTAAACATGAGCTTGAATACGCACGCCATTCCGCGCAGTTTCCGTGAAAATGGCAATAAAGAAATTTACGCATCATCCCACATACACGCACACGCAGACATATCAGAAGACAGTGTCAAATTTAAATAGGAATAAATGTTTATTTCAATACGTGTGTACGAGTAGAGCAAGCACAGCTTTAAAGCGAAGCGCCCTAATTTTGCTTTTGTTCAATAGACGAAACGCACACGCAAATGCACACATACTAAGGAGAAGACAAAAGACAAATTGGCAAATTGACGAGACATGCAACTAGCACTTATATATAAGTATATGCATAAGTGCGTGAGAGTGTGCGTGTGCATGTGCGTGAGCTTGATTCTTGACATGTGTCTCAATTTTCTCGATTTCTTCGCATTTTCAACTCAATTCGCTTAAGTGTTATTGAATACACAAAGCACTAACGCCACTCACCCACACAAACACACAAACACACACACACACACACACACCTAAACACACAAACACTCACACGTCTACATACATACTTGTCCGCTGAAATGTCACTGTCAATGAATCAAACTCACACACACGCAAACACTTACAGATACACATGCAAAATTGTCGAGTGCTTGAGGGCTGGCATCCAGGGCGTATGCGTAATATTATAACTATTGTTATAGCTGCTACTACAAGTATTGTTGTCGCTGGCCGGGTACGAGTAGGTACGTAGCTGCCTCACTGGCTGCTTTCTGCGTTTTGGCTGACACGCGCGCATTTTTCCACCGTTTTGCTTATTTTTTCTTTCACTCAGTTTTTGCACTTAAGCCGATTTAAAGTAGAATTTATGCTCTTTTATTTTGCAATTTTCCTGTCATGGCACCACAACACAACACAAACGAAACTGAAAATGAAGCACGATGCGGTAGGTGAAGAGAGACTTTTGTGTGGGTGTGTTTCAAGGTTCGTTTGATTAGCCAGGTAGTATTCAATGAACTTGTCATGCTCGGACATCCATAACTTAAAGTTTTTGAGGCTTGAGGCAAATCGAATGACAATTCCAAATTGTATACAGTATTTTTTTCTTTACAACAACTACACACAACAAATCTATTGATAAGCAAGCCTCTGATTGTGTGAACATTTTTGGGTTTTTTCCGGTTTCTCCAGCTGTGAGTTTATTCAGTTCGATTCACAAATAAATGCTAATACTTAAAAATTGAAATCGTTTGATCTCTTTCATTTACTGAGTGAGTATATTAACCAATTGTGCAAACAAATTAACTACACATGATATATTTATATAGATTTGGTTTGTTGTGCTAAGTATTCTTTCACTCTAATTTCCTTTGTGAAATTGAGCGCGATAATTGGTTTGTGTTAAAGAAGTTCCACTGTATTCTAAGCAAATTTAGTCTGGCTTATTTTTAAACGTACCCTTCCTGCTGTTGCTTTGATGGCCACCAATTAAGAGCACTTCGGAATTTCGATCGGCGCTCCTCCTTCTCTCTCTCACTGTTATCGTCCTCATTAGAAAACTGATATGAATTTGTTGAATTGTTCGTTGTCAATGAAAACGGCTTAGTATAAGAATGCGAAGACATTTTCACTTGTGTACTCGTCTATTACAATGATTTCTTGGAGACTAAACAATTCTGTCACGCATTAATCGCACTCATCTAATTTTTGTACACACTATCGTTCTTAGAGCACCTCTTGTCACTTAGGTTAACAAAATCGACTGCCCCTAATACTGATACTGCGGCTACATTTTAAGTCCACGACAACAGATCGCAAATAAAAATTTGATCGTTTTCGATTAGCACTTCCATTTGCGATAAATTTACGAATTTGTTTGTGTACGCACACACACTTAGAGGCAGTATATGTATATTTGTTACAATATCTTCAATTGACTTTAGATAGTAAATATTGCCCTAATAGACTATTCATTTTAATTGTAATAATTTCAATTTGAGAAACATGTGTATTGCAGAGTAGGGTAAACAGTTGGCAGCAAATCTGCTTTATCAACGGCGGATGAATGCAATCTTTAGAAGCCAAAATTGTTTTATAGAAATGAGTTCTTGTGTATAAATATTTTAACTCATTTATTATAACGCTTTCTATTTACATTAAAATATAAAATCAAATTTATTTTAATGATTCAATGAGCTTACCCTTTACTTTGGTTCTTTGAATTCCACCATTTCATAGAATCTAGCAATTTCAATCGGCTTTTTTCGTCCTCAATTTCGTCGGTTTCGTGAAAATTGTATGAGTCTCTAATGGATGTTGGTTTTGTGTAGGCATAGGAGGACATTTTCAGATTTGAAAAAAAGTCCCTGCTTTAAGATAACACTAATTTTATAAATTTGTATACAAATTTTATTTAAACGCACTCTTGCTCTATCTTGAAATTGTTCGTGCCCCTATGGCTACCAATATTAACTGCCACTTAAATTGTTACTGCTGTCAGCATTTATATCTCTTAAAGGCTTCAAAAGCCTCTTGACCATATCAAAATGTAGTGACGAAAAACAAAAGATTGTTATATGATCGAACAAATTGCTGACCGACACACAGTTTTTGAGTTCGATTTGTAACTACATACAATCTCTTGATATCTTTAAATATAAAAAAAACTAAAAGTTACATTACAAAAAAGTTAAAGGGGTGTCTTAATATAGATCTTGATCTTAGCTGGTCAACAGGCTTTGTAAAGAATGCAGAACAGAAATAAACTTACAATCGTTACAAAGACTCAATAATTGACAGCAAGAAAGTTAGAAGTGATTTTGGCACGATTTTGTTGAATCTTACCATATAATTATTGTTGCAAATGCCTAATTTTACTTAAGTTTTTATTTAATTTCACTTGTATCGAAGCTTAGAATTTTTATGATTGATTTTGCTATTACTATAAATGTTATTGTGTCACGTGCTGGTCATTTCGCCACTACCGTACATTCTGACCGATCTAAATCGGATCTGCAATCTTTGACAGCCACGGATTGGAAGTAAAAGTTTAATGGTTTTTTAATTATCGTTGTCATTGACGTCAAAAAGACTTTATCACCAGATAGAAACCGAAAATGGCTTATCAATTTGTTATTTTCCAATACCACTAACGTAATACCATAATCCATATTAACAAGTAGAAAAAAACTGGTTAAAGTACGTCCACATTCTGCAGACTTTATTTACCTAGGTTAGGTTAGATTGCGATGACTAGAACGGCCATAGCTGCCCTTTGCTTAATCAGTTTTTGTTGTTTTGCTTGGTTATTGGATGTTATAAGAATACTGGCTTTATATGCAGTCTTAAGAGAGATATAGTATAACGACATTTTTAAAATGTTTTTTTTTGTCAGAACCAGTGCTTTGCAGTACTTTCCTGAAAGAACTCTGGGTTTTGTGCTATACATTTTGCCTTCACGTTTC